CCGGGGGCTGGAGGCGGGGAAAAGGGGGAGTTAGTGTCTAATGGGCACAGAGTTTCTGTTGAGGGTGAGGAAAGGTTTGGGGTATAAATGGTGACGACGCTTGTGCAACCATGTGGACGTACTTAGTGCCATTGAACTGCACCCTGAGAAATGACTGAAATGGTAACATTTTGTTGTGCGTATGTTATCATGATAAAAAAGTAATTTTTAAAGGAACTTACCGAGGACTTACGGGCAGAGCGCGGTGCCAGCGTGTCCGCTTATGGGGGTTCCCCGTTCTCGGGCACCGAGCACGCATCACTTCTGTAACATTGATCTGCCTACGGTCACCTCTTCTGCCCCCAGTCCACGCCAGCTTTAGGGGACGTGTCCTATAGGTCCCTCCATGGGTCGGCCCTGGGGTCCTTGCTCCACGAGGCGCAGAGGGTGCGGACGCAAGGGACACGCCTGTGGCTCGACATAAACTCAGGCCTCGGGCCGCTGCTTTCCTGCCTGTCGGCTGCAGTGCTTCCCTCCGTGGGTGTCCCTGATCCCCACGAGACACCCTGACTCTTTCTGTACCATCTGCCCTGACCCCTTTGGACTTAGTGACTCAGTGTGCGCACCGGCCCCTTGGCTCAGCGCTCGGCCCCTGCAAGAGTCAGCTTCTTGTGACAGCTCCCGTCAACTCACAATCTTCCAGGCAGCTGAGGTCATTCTGTTTGTCACCACCTTACGGGAAAGGAGAGACGAAGCCACCATTATCCATTTTCTGGAATCTTCAGCACCATCTATTTCTTTCTTCCCTCATCTACTGCCCCTCCCCGCAGCCCAGTCGATGCCACCCCAGGGGTACCCAGTGTGTGTGTGTGTGTGTGTGTGTGTTTCCTTCCCAACCCACCCTTCCACCTGCTTAAGATTAGGGGCCCACCCTCCCCTAAAGAGCCACTGCACCCGCCAGCTGTCTGGTCCCTCACCTGTATGTCCTGCACCACCTCCTCCTCTCTCTACCTGCCCGCAGAAGCTGTTGTCCCCGAATGCAAATCATCTCAGTGGTCTCCTGCTGAGAAAGCGCCACAGGCACCCAGTGCTGGAGAGCCGAGGTGAAGCTCTCCGCTGGCCAGACCGGGTCCCCCACACTCCAGCCCACCCCCGACTCCAGCCCGGCCCCTCCTGCAGCTCTGTCACAGTCCTTCCCCCAACACACTGACGTTCTCACCTTTCCGCAGGTGCTCCCACCTTCCTCTGGCCTCGCCCACGTTGCTCCTTCTGCCAAGAGTGACCGAGTCACCAGGTTTGCCCAGAACGGTGTCTGTTTACACCTGTCGTTGGGTGTAATTATTAACAGCCTACTTTCCACTCTCCAAAGTGTCCTGGCTTGGGCGACAAGTCATGTGGTCACGGTAGATTTGCTCTAATCCTTGACCTGGCAACTCTCTGCTCGTCTTCCGTGATCTGCTCGGTGTCCATGCTGGGAAGGTTGGCCTGATTCCCAGGAGAGCTGCTGGTCCCTTCAGCACCCCCTCCGCCCCCTGTGTACTGTTACGAAGTTGTTTACATGCCTGTCTTCTGCTAGGCTCCTTGAGTCTCATATATCTTTGTATCCCATGGAGTAGGGTGTTCAATTAAAGTGTGCTACAAGAAATAAAAAACCGAATTCATTCGCTATTTATTAAGTGAGAACGATGCACCACGCACTATTCGAAGCTCTGGGCAAAACGGATGAATATCCACATTTTGATGGAGTTTACGTTTAAGTGTAGGAAAGAGACGTTAGTGAATTTCCGAAAAGTCGCTGGTGACGGGGTAGGTATGGGACATCCCTCGATGAAGCAGGCTCGCTCCAGGAGCTGGGGCTGGAGGTCAGCGACCCTGGGGGCACGAGGCGGTCTGAGAGGTGAAAGCGTTCTGTCAGAAGGGAAGAAGAAAATGGGATGATGGAAGGAGGATCTGAGTGATGGTAGGATGCTGCCTCTCAGGATGGAGAAACAGGCCACAGCCAAGGAATGCGTGTGGCCTCTCGAAGCTGGCGAAGGCGAGGAAACGAAGCTCCTCTTGGAGTCTCCAGAAAGGAATGGAGCCCAGTCGACACCTTGATTTTAGCCCGGCCGATGGCTGGGGAATCGAATGGAGTGAATGAGGTCAATGTAGTTCCCCGCCTCGGGGAGATGATGGCATCCTCCCCTCTCTCCACGTTGGAATCCCACACACTTCAAGGTCAAGTCCAAACATCGTTTCTCCTCCGTGAAGTCAGTTATCTCTTCAGGCGGAAATATCCTCTCCTTGAAACTACTGCTTGGCTTCCTTCACCCTGCTCCTATAGTACACGCCACATAAAGAATGAGAACATCGTGGGGAAAGTTACTTCATCTTTGGAATATCGTCAGCATCTAAGGGAGCACAGTGAGTGAACGCATGGATGGACGAGCGAATGTGTTAAAGGCGGTATAAAAAAAAAAAAAAAATCACCCACTAACTGCCCAACCCGAACCAACTGTTGAAGAAAACATATTTGAGACATTCTCAACTCAGTATAAGCGACCGCAGTACCCTGAGGGGTGGTGAGGGGGTGGGGGGGAGAGTTCATTTATAAAGCAAGTGGGAATTAGAGGTGAAAAGGACAGATCGTGACGTCTCGTCCATGTGTTCATGACCTTGCTCCATCGCGGTACGTTTCTGAACTTGGCACATGGAAGTAAAGCGCTGCTTTTCGACAGTCAGAAATCCTTAAAAATGCTTCTGAGCCATTAGACAAATTTGAAAACACACAAAAGCACAAAGAAGGAAATTAGATTTACCCATAAGCCACCGCTCACTGTTCATGTGTTGGTGTATTTGCTTCTAGTTTTTTTTTTTTTTTTTTTTTTTTCCCCTTCTCATAA